AAGAAAAAATATCTATTATCAGAAGAGGACCTTTTCAGCCAGAAAAACATGAACTTATGGAGAAAAATTATCCCCAGGAACATGGTCATCGTTTCAATACTAATCAGTATTATAGAGTTTTACATAGTGGTGAGAGAATCAAGCGCGATTGGTTAAGTTTTAGTGTTAGTAATAGTCGAATGTATTGTTTATACTGTATGTTTTTTGGAAAAAATAAACAAAGATCGTGGACAGTTGACGGATTTCATGCTTGGCAAAAATTACAGGATATAAGTTTGCATGAAAAAACTGAAAATCATATAAATGCTGCTATTATAGTCAAAATGAAATTATCTTGTATCCCAATTTTTCCACAAATATATGAAAATAAAAGAAAGCAAGTATTAGAAAACAGAGAAATCATAAATGCTCTCATTGAAATAACTTTGTTTCTTAGTCAACATTCATTGCCATTTCGTGTCCATCGTGAAAGCTGGGATGAACGTAATAAAGGAAATTTTAAAGACCTAGTTATACTGATCAGTAAATTTTCTCCAGAATTAGCTATATATATAAATCACTTGAAAACCAAAGGAAAGAGTGAAGTAAATTTTATATCATGGCGAAGACAAAATCAGCTMATAAGTTCTGTAGCCACGTTTATCAAAATAAATATAAGAGATGAAATTAAAAAAGCTTAATATTTTAGTATTTCAATCGATACATCAAAACGTGAGCAATTAGCTTTCATTGTACGTTATGTTAGTTTCAAGGAAACGTCTTCTGTAATATGTGAAAGACTATTAGCACTATAGGAATCATCTTTATATCAGCTTTTTTCAATATTTCAGGATATTTTCCTTGAAAATGAATTAGATTGGAGATCTTCATTTGTTGGTGAGAGTTACGATGGCGCCAGCAATATGCGAGGACAATATGAAGRTTTACAAGCTTTCATAAAAGAAGTAAATCCGTCTGCAGTTTATACGTGGTGCTATGCTCACCGTCTGAACCTTATCGTAGTTCAAGTTGCTAGTAGTTCTGCTGATGCAGTAAATATGTTTGGTAATGTAGAAGAACTGTATAACTTTATCTCATCTAGTAAAAAAAGAATAGCTTTCTAYGAAAATACACARAAAGAAATCAGACCAGCTGAAAGAGTAARRAGATTAAAAAGAGTAAWTACAACTAGATGGATGTCATATTCCAWGGCTCTCCAGACAGTTCTAAAYACTTTTRATATAATCATAGACACTTTGGAAAATATCAAAGTTACAGAACTATCTGATTACAAGACTTGCTCTAAAGCCAATGGATTAATTGAATTTTTACTATCASWAMAATTTGTAATGACTGCTATATGTTTCAGTAAAATATTTCAATTATTAGATCCAGTTWMAAAAATTMTTCAATCACCCGATATTGATTTATTAGGAGCAGTAAACAGTGTACAAGTGRTCTTAGATAACATTAAAAAAATGAGATCAGACAAAATATTTCAAAATATCTGCAATGAAACAACAATTTTCRTGGAAAAATCTGACTTTGAGTTTACATCATTGCCAGTGAAACGTTGTAGACAAAAAAATTAATGGCAGGTGATTTTAATCCTGACCATGTTATTACAGATCCAAAACAAGAATATAAAGTCAACACTTATTTTATGATAATTGATGCAGCCATTGTATCAATTGAAACTAGATTTCATTCAACAGGTCAACATTTATTAAAAGATATTTCACTTTTTTCAAACTGCTCATTTAAAACAAACTAAAAAAGATCCTACAATGTTACCTAAAGACGCTTTTAAAACATTCTGTAATTTGTACCACCACTTTGTAAATTATGAAGATTTGAGGACAGAGTATATACAATATTCTAGATCATTTTTTGAGTTTGAAGATGCTATTGGGTTTCAACAAACTTATATCCATGACGAAAAATACACCAGTTACAATGATAGTGAACATGAAAGTGAAGAGAATTCAGATTCGGATCGTGATGAAGATGAAGGAGCAATTTATGTTCACAAACATAATAACTTAGGCACATTACTACATATGCTTCAAGTATGTCATAAAGCAGGATTAAAAAATGTTTTCCCATGCCTTACATATTGCATGTACATTACCTGTTGCAARTACAACGTCTGAAAGAACTTTTGTCTAAGTTAAAAATTGTTAAAAATAGATTAAGGACAACAATATCACAAGACCGCTTAGAACAACTATTATTAATGTCATGTGAATCAGATATAGAGATTGATAACGGTCAAGTTATTGATATATTTGCCAACTGCAGTTCTGTGTTGAAGAAAAATCTTTTATAGCTTATAAGTTATAACCTATCATATCAAAGAAATGTATTTTATTATTATTATTATTATTATTTTAATTAATGTTTGAATTTTTTTCTAAATACATATAAGGTTTACTGGTTTACATATATGATTGGCCTTATTAAATAATTCACTGTTACCCTATTTAGAATAATTGAAGTGTGTGTACAAATATTATATGTCCAAATCAACCACAACAGTGGTGGTGGTGGTGGTGGTGGTGGTGGTGGTGGTAGTCTTATGTGATTTGAACCATAAGTTTGTGGAGAGTTGGGCGCCACTGGTTCACTTGTAATATAAGATAGAGATAATTCTATATTGTTATTGATCAAAATGAAATAGAAATAATTTACTGAATTTAAACTACAAATGGTTTATTTAATTTGCATGTTTAATAATTATATTTTGTTTTTCTTTAGGTTCCCTATCTCCCAGTTCATCATATTCTGCTGATGGTTCGATTTCCTCATATAGCGATACCTACTTACCTGCTTTTTTTATTTTGAAACAAACATTTTTTTTTAGTCTTAGTTATTTAAGTAGTTAATAGTGCCTTTTCTTACATGGTATGCATTATGTAACATATATGAATAAAGTTTAATTTTGGATTTGAACGTGGCCCGTGGGAAATACATATGAGGTTATTAAATTTCTGTAGTGCCAAACAAAGCAATATAGGCTAAATATTACGAACTAATAATTACATTAAACGGTCAGGATATTGTATTAATTGTAGGTACAWTTGTCATTTGCATGTTTATTAAAAATCATATACCTAGATAATAATTKCATARTTATTGTCACGTGCCATTAAGCCGTGAACGTATACCTACAAAATATGTTATTATTTTTTCTTCCTAAAAAGTATTGTATTGTGGGACTTTGTTATATTATTATTTATTATGGATTCTAAAATAAAAGCGTTTGCCCCGGCCAACAGAGTGCAAGCACTGAAAGCGAATGGCTCCACCCCGTGATCATGCCTATGAGCTGCGCATTTATGCACAAACGGAAATTAAAGCTGCGAATTCCAGTAGGGGGAGTGATAAAATGTATCTGATTTGAATTGAGAAACATATCAAAATTTATGTTTCAAAATCAAAAATGTGATAATCGGGGATAAACGCATRAAATATTYGGGTGATGAGGTTTRAAAAAATTGTATAATCTTTGTACCTAATACCTATTGTTATTTGTTATACCTATATGGCTATATGATAGGTAGGTACATCATTGGTATTATTGATATTTCGTGGGGAGGTTAACCCTTCGCGGCGAAACGGTCCGCGACKAAATGTCCTAGACCCCAGCAGTCTATCTGTGAGTTGTGACAAGTTCATATTAAATATTATTAATTATGGGCCGTCATATATTGTCAACAGTATTAATTACTTATTACTTATCAGTAACAATTTATTATATTGTAAATTACAATTCTTGGTCATTTGTAATATAATATAATATAATTATATATTTTATTTACTTTGCATTTTTATCAAAACAAAACTCTGAATAGTAAGTCCTAAACTTCTAAATAGTATATTTTGTTAATTATACAAATTGAATAATTTTGTTAAAATTTAACCATWCATTATTATAAACTGTAAACTAAATATTAATTATTCACAATAACCAGGTTCTCATGAGATTTCAAATGTTTTATTTTAAGTATTTTTAACATACCTACATACAACTGCATAGTGCATACATGTATTAAAATTTTTTGTTTGAAAAACAAATATAAAAAAATAAGGTTTAGAAACCGATTGGAACCGGTTTTAACCGGAACCAATCTTCAATTTTGCTTATCGATATTAGTTTTTTCTGATTTCAATTTAAAAATAAAATATCGATTTTTTTATTGAAGCAGAATATCGATTTAATTATAATAAGATTTCGATTTTAAATATTTTTTTTCGATTTTATATAAAATTTTGTTTTTTTTCGATTTTGAATGTAATTAATTTTTTTATTTTAGTTTCCGTTTAAAACAATACCTATTATTAGTTTGAAATTAGTGAAATATTTTCTAGTTATGAATAATTACTATATTATATTATTCTTTAATACTCTTACATTTCAACCAATGTCTAATTTAGCTTAGATTTTGTTCATATGAGTTAAATTTCTGTCGCAGCTATTCAAATAACAATTCCCAAGCCTAAAAGGCTTAACTTTAGTTATTGTTTAGACTTTTTAAATCACAAAATACTAAAAAGCCACCAAACAGATAACATAATAAGCCAATAAATTGTCATACTTTTGGACATTTTCAATTTCTACCAAAGAAAATAAAGAATAAAGAATAAAGAATAAAGAATAAAGATATAGACGGTAGGAACATCTCAATAATTTATTTATAATTGTAATATAAATCCAAAAAAACATATAACAAATCATATTTGATATTTTTATTAAACTTTTTAATCAAACCAATTACAGTTAGTTAAACCAATTACAAAATGAGGAAGCTTTTAATCATCAACTCCTAGTTAGTAAACTTTATTGAATATCATATTTATGTCATAAATTTTGTCTTTGAGCAATCATTATAGCATCTAATAAATTGGCTGATAATGACGTACGTAGATCAGATAATATGAACTTTATTCCATTAAAACTCCGTTCAACACTAACCTGAAAAAAAAATTAAAAATAAGAAATTTCACAAGAAAATACAAAGTATTATCAATGTAGTATATACCTGAGTAGCGGGTACAGCAAGAACAACATTTGCTAACTTATAAAGATCAGACTTTTTATGTTTTTGGGATTCCCAAAATGTAAGTATGTTTGTTTTATAATGTAGACGCTCGACATCTTTAAAATTATGCAAGCTAATGGATATATCATTTGACATATTTGTGTCACTCCGATTACTTGAAACAGATGATTGTGATGACAAAAACAATTCAAATCCATCATCAGTTGTTTCTGTAGTGTTATCAGGAGAATCAACATTATTACTGGCTGAAAAAAAAATTATAGATACTTTTATTTATAATTATTATTTAACACTAAATAAGTTAAAATTGTTTTATCAATCGGTATTAACCTGTAGCTGAATTATTGACATCATCAGTTTGATAAACATCATCTTGTATCTGAATCATACACTTCCATGTTTTAACTAAATGATCAATTCCAGTATTTTTGTCAGATTCATTTAACATGCATTGATACCGTGGATCAAGGAAAATTGCTAAAGAAAAAAAGTTTCAAATATTATTAAATACCTACTAAATAAAGACTGATTATTCAGCTTAAAACAACATTAAGGTGAATGTGCACTCGTGTGTAAACACAATAATATAATGTTTTTCTTTTATAATATAATTGTTTAACATATAAAAAAATATATAAGATATAATCAAATTTATTTTTAAGCTTTTGTTAAGAACAAATAATGTTTTAATCAACAGCAGCACTAATTTGCCAGTCTTTAAATTATTTTTTAACTGTATGATATAAGGTTTTGTATATGTGGTTATGACAATTATTATATTTCGTCAAACATACCTGCCAAAAATACTGGATTTTTTAATAATAGCACCTCACGCTGTTTCATTGATTTCAAAATTTGTTTAGCTAAAATTGAACCGTTAGACTGGAGACCATGGGATGCTTTAAGCCATACTCCATAGAAGTCACCGAGGTTGATGTCCTGCTTTTGAAGAGCTAGAGTAGCTATACACAGTTAATCTTAATATATCTATTAGTTACTAATATATTCAAAAACTAAAAACTTTTAATTACAATCAATATTAACTGTATGATAAATAATATATTTAATGACTTTTAAAGAAAATTATAAGAAAATATAAAACTTTAAAAGTTAAACATTTAGATAAAAAAGTATACTTGATAACTATATAAAAAGAAAACCACTGCATAAAGGTCACACACTGCAGCTGGAGGGGTAAAATTATTTTGTCTTGGCGGTGCCAAATTGTGACCAGCTTCATTTTGCTATTAATTGCCCCAGCGATAATTGCCACCACTGCAGTATGTGGGGGCAGTGGCGGTTATACACGCTGTTCAAGGGGGGGGGGGCGAAAATAAAACCAACCCTCCCCCACCCCATAGCATTTATATACAGGGTGATCCATTTAAGTGGGTACACTAATTATCTCGAAAAGTATTAACTTTTTTTGAATTTTTTTTTTTTTAAACTTCTAGGTTTATGTTTTTCTAAAACCGTATAATATTTTAATTTTTTTCACCCTTATATTTATTAGTGAAACCACTATCAAC